AAAATGAATTTAGACCATAATCGCGATTTATTGAACTGTATGATCACATTTAAATATAGTACGAATCTGAACCGTTCATCGCGTTTAATCGCGACTGAGGAGGGAACGAATTCGGACCGTCCGATCGCGAGCACGCGGATTGTCAGTGTGGCCTCCCGCGTGACTCCGAGTCAATGTGCTTTACCACACAGCGCGCTCCGGTTCGTTGGAGCCGCTGGCTGAGCGGTCCTACGTGGCACATTTTTCTTAAATTGCGTTTTGATCTCTAATTTTCAATTTTTTTTCAAAAATATATCCCGAACTCTAAATTTTTACCATTTTTTCTTAAAATTATTCTTAATTTCATCATCCACCTATTTTTTCTAATTTTTACATTAAATAAAAATTTATAAATTTAAATATATTTATTATTATTATTTAAAAAATTAATCACGAATTAAATTTTGGACCCAGATATTACAATTTTATTGACGTCATTAAGTAGTATTTATTACGCAATATTTTTGTAATATACTATGACTTTTTACACTACAAACTAAGATAATAATATATATATATATATATGTGTATTAACTTAATTAATATAAATAAATCAAATTAAAAATATAGTTGAAAAACATATATTCTTTTAAAATTTTAAAGAAGGTTAGCGGGATGGTAGGTGGCTGGGTCGTATATAGCGGCTTTTATAGTGGGATTAATTTGAGCATTCATATAATCTTTAGAGCTGACTGGATCAGGACTCTCACCAGTCAAATTAATAACTTAATCCATTTTTAAAAAATAAAATTAAAAATATTATATATTATAATAAAGATAAAATTTTAAAATATAAAAATAAATTTTAATTTTTATGGCTATCTTAATTTTTACTTTATTAAATTTTGTTATTTATTACATTTTGCAGAAAAAAAAAAAATTGCAGACTCATTTCTTAATTATATGTGAATACATACACATATATATACAAACATGTATGATAGAGGGATTGTATACGGATATGATTTACCTTAATTAGATAGAAAAGTCGAGGAATATATATATATATATATATATATGTTGATTGATTTATGACTACTCCATATCAGCAATTAATTTAAAGAAATTAAATCTGAAAAAACCCGCCCATCTTTTCCTAAGCTAAACCAATAATGCACCCGTTGCTATCTTTTCTACTATTACCTTTTCATCTTTTTTCCCTATCATACCCTACAAATTTTGTTTTTAGTGAATTTATATATATATTAGTTAAATAATATAAAAACATAATCTCATATAAATAAATAAAAATAGACGTAATAAATATTCAATTAACTAAAAATTAATTCATATAATTATTTTTAAATTCTTAATTATAATACGTTCTTATCATAACACACAAAAGTGCACAAATTTATAATTATTTATGGTTGAAGATATATTCCCATCATACAATTATAACACCGATAATTACGTAAATATACCGTTATAATAATTGAAATAATAAAATAAAGGAGAAACTGCGCAATATCATATATATATATATAAGTATATGTAAGTGAATCTGAAGGTTAATTCTAGCTGCTTAATGGAATATATATATGAATATTTATACACACACACACATGGAATCTGCACGAATAACGAGATACATATATATATATAAATGTATACATGTAAAATTAATTAAGATGACATAGAACTTGTGGAGTTTCCGGTTGATTTTCTTTCATTGAAGCCAATCCTCTCAAGAAAACACAGTACTGATGATAACTGTGTAATTTCTCAAGGGAAAAATACAGAAGCAGATCATAACTTATTACAAAGTTTAACAGATTAATCAAGGCGGCAAAATGAAGTTGTTAAAATTAGAAGCCACCAACTCCGAAGCTCTATATACATATATACATAACATATATATGTATAGAGAATATATATATAGTGTACTATATATGAACAAGGGCATAAGAAGCAACTTTCTTGTTCCACGTGTATATATATATATATATATATATATATATAATTTACGAAAAAAAATTTTGAACAACAAACCCTATCATCATCATCATCATCAACTGGAGGTTGATCATCTCTGTCTTTATCCAATCATGGCGGTCAAAGAGCGAAAAACAACTTCCTCGCATGGAATCGTAAGACCCATGTCGTGATTAAACCCGAATTCTTCTTCAGCTCTCTGCAACAAAGACTGAAACTCAGGGTGTCCTAACCAGGATATCGGCACGACATATCTGCTTCTGTTCTCGCCAACGTACACCACAAAATGCCCCTTCGGCACATCGTCATGCTGATACCCATTTTTCTTCCCGAAGCTTGAGCACCTCTTCAGAATTTGCTTCAGAGCCGCCGTCTGAGGTAGCACTTTGTTTGCTTTTTTGTTCGCCATAGCATATGTTTGTATATATATGTATACGACTTGTTTACAGTGTGTATATGTGGAGAGAGAGAGAGATATATATATATATCCGTTAATGGTATTTGTTTTCTTTCTGTTTGTGTATATATATGGAGAGAGAGAGAGAGAGAGAGAGAGAGAGAGAGAGAGAGAGAGAGTAGGGCGGGATATGTAGAGAAGAAATCTAAGAGGAGAATCAATCAGGTGATGGGCAAAGGGGAGAGATGAAAGGTGTACATATAGAGGACGATATATATGTCTATGTACGTATTGGAGGGGTCATGGGGTATTTATAGAGAGGGTAAGAAGAGAAGAAAGAATTTATATCTCCTCACTACTTAAATCTCGAATTCAAACCTCACTAACCACCTAAAACTTATTATTTTATCAGTATATTATGAATTAAAGATTATCTAAACTATAATATTTAATTCAGTATAAATAATAAATTAATATATATTATGATAACTAAATTGAACTGTCTCAACAACTTAAAATTTACTAAAAAAATTTTTGCTAACAGTTAAATTTTTTTAATTTAAAATAATCAAAATAGATATAAGTAATTTATTTATTAAAAAAATTAAAAGAGAAAAAGAGGGAGAAAAAAAACTGGTGTTTTGGCGAATGGAGAAAGCAAAGCCATGTGAGAGTGGGGACGAAGATGAACTAAACCAATATGGTGTTGACTGTATATAAAAAGGGTACAGGGTAACAAGGGGGTACCTACACAAATGGGACACTACCCTACAAACATGTCTTCCAAATGACAAATGGGGTCCGGAGTTATCACTCTAATTTTTCCAAAAAATTTTGTCTGTGCTTAATATATAAACCCATCGTCTTCTAAGGTTGGCAAATTACAGTTCATTACAGTACCATAATATTATATACATGCACACACACATATATGTATATATATTCCGTTCCGTAGTATATTATATTGATATGTTCGTGTCCTTTTCTCATATAGGTCTCTTTCCCTGTGCAAAGAGACGTACAAAGAGCTGGACTCCACACATTCCATCAGCTTCTGGTTAATGATAATCGCTGTTCCTGCTTTTCTTAAGAAGAAAAGAAAAAATCTAGTAACGTTACGAACTAATTAGGTTCAGAAAACATGAAAATACTATTTTCTGCTTGTATTTTGGTGTAATTACAATGAAAATACATACATTTTATTAAATTAATTAACATATACGGACCAATCATAATACTAAGTTTTACAAAGTACATAGAGAAGTAGATTGTCAGAATCAAATTAAAACTTCATCAACCAAAATGAATGGCATGTAGAGAACAAAGTGAGAGTTGTTATTGCGTTAGACAGCTACTTTAAAAGCTGCTGCTGATGATGATGATGATGATGAAATCATGTTGTTTAAACAGTTTTATTTTCAAGATTATCTGAGCTAATGATAAGATTTTTAGATCCCACCACGTTTTTTTCAAGACATCACCTCTTTTTTTTTTCTTTTTTTTCCCTCTCTTGAGGAAATAATTTCCTCCACCTTGCAATAGTTCTGCTATTGCCTATAATCATAAACTAGCTATTATTCCAAGCACTAAAAAGAATAATTTGTGTTTCCAGTTAATTTATCATCAATAAAGTTATAGTTTAGTGATTAATATTTTCATATCTATTCGAAAGTTATGAGTCTAAATTTTATTAGGGATGTAAAGTTTTTTCACTTTATAGATGTATTGTGTTCTGATAATGAGCAGATATTATATTTGATTCAGTAAAACCGAGAGTTTAACTCATTAGCATGTTGGTGAAGCTACAATTATCAAGTCAAACTAAGTCTCTATGAGTTTATTATATTTATACATAAAAGGAACATTTTGTTACAATTAACTTCTCTTAGTTGTGCTAATATTACAAACTGATAATAATCAGTATATTATACTTGATTTAGTGAGGTCGAAAATTTAGTTTATTAATCGGTTGGTGAGACTATAACGATCAAGTTTGATTAAGTTTCAATGAGTTTATTACGTTTTTTTTAAAAAAAATATATTTCGTGACAGTTAAATCTCATTAATTAAAGTATTTACAATTAATTAAGGGTGTCATATTAATGTATGAGTAAATAATTAAGCAGAATGAAACCACGAGATAAGAATAAAACTTGACATAGTGTTAATCAAAATTAGACATTGATAGATAAAATTTTTCATCAAGTATATAAACGATCATAAATTATACGAGAATAGTAATCCCCTAATAAAGTGTTTAATTTAAACTAAAACTCGAACTTTCTTTAACCATATAAAGAAAATTATGGGGATTAGGCAAACATCATATTTGCATTAAGGAAAATGTAAGATAAGAATGGAAAGAAGGAGATGGTCACATTCTTTAAATTTATTTGGGGAAAAATAATTATTAGTAAAGTAAATAGATGGTATGTGTGTTTTTCATCCCTTATCTCTTGTTTGGATCTAATTGTGTTATCTTTCTTCTGGAAATGACTTGTTTTGCAGAGACTGGTAGGACAGGAGGCTTTGGCAAAACCCATAGCTCGCTAGAAATGTTGGGTATAAATATAGATCATTCACCTGAACATTGTATCTATCGATTTTTAATATATTGAAATCATTATAGGACCACTTTAACTCATAACTAGCACCACAAACTAGCCCTTATGCTTATTTTGAACAGAATGATTCTAAATTACTATTACAATTTAGTACTAGGAGTAGTTTGCTGTAGAAATTAGATATCAAATTTTCTGGTGCTTCCTTTTTTTTTTTTTTTGGGTTGCAAATAAAATCGGGGATGGAGATATGTTGGGTTGTATTATATGGACTACAAAAAATGACATATAACTTGGCTGGGCTTAATTGGCGCTCCATTGTTGAGTTCTCTTTGTGGTGATGAAGAGGTCAATCACCAAAAACATTGCCTTTGCTCCCACCAAATCATTCAGTCCGAACTCACCATCATCATCTTCTTTCATGTTTCCTCTGCTTCCAATATGTCGTACGTTTTCGTAATGCCAACCTTTTCTTTTTCCCCATCAAAGCTACCAAACCCTACTCCGCAAGAATGATGACAATTATTGTGTGAGGTCTACCCAATACTAAATAGAGAGACCCATAGTAGATCAACCTCACATGGAAAGAAGTAAACAAACAGATAAATCCCACATGGAAAGAAGTAAATAAACGAGAATTAATCCCATCTCCCACATGATGAAACAAAGTAAAAGATATCGAGAAGAAAATAAGGTGAATTCTATGGTATCTAGTATCTCTTGTCATTTAAGTTATTAGTTTTTATTAGATATAATCGTATTTCATTATTATCTAATGACAGCATTAACTGTACGAGTATTGAAGTTTTTAGAAATTAAATTTTTTTAATCGATAACATATAACAATTGAGAAATTAGTACTCGAAACTAATATTAAAAACTTGAACTTCCAGTACGCATTCTACTAATTATATAAAGACAAATATTGATGACTGAAACAAAATTTATTTTCAAATTGTGTTTATCAACATGTTCTTGGTGTAGGAATGGCAGCTGCTATATAGATATATTATACATATTAGCAAACTACATACTCCAGTCTGTCTATGATAAATGTCTCAAACATCTCAAAGTTTCCCATGTGATCCTGCCAAAGCCCAAAATACCAGAGAAATCAACACCCAAGAAACATATTTCCCCTCCCCCCCCCCCACTCCCCAAGATTAAAATATTTAAAATATAAATAAAAATTTCTATTCTTTTTGTGGTGCATCATTAATGTAATATAGAACAACAACACACATTAACTTTGCACTTTCATTTTAGTCG